AGTCTTCGAACTGCCATTAGTTGTATAACTATAGTTGAATGAAAATGTTTTCGAGTTGTATTGTATTAGACTCCTATTGTAGATCATTTATTTGATCTCTGTCATATGATGATTCCTTTAGCCTGTATGAAATCGCGATAATGGTAGCTAGGAATCTATCGTTTCTTGATAAAATTAAAATCCGCTTCGAATTCGTTTGCAAACTCACCCATCCTGATAATTATTTATTAAAATGAATATTGATATTTTAATTTACGATATCGCAATGCTTTAGTTCATTCTCTACTTTACTGCGGCTGCGAGAGCAATACCAAATACAAATGACACTAAGAAGCCGGCAATATGTAATGTTATACTATTTGTTGGGAAATAAGTAAAACGTCTTATATATCCTTCTGTATATACCATAATTTTGATTTCTTTCATATTCGTATACTCTTCACGGATAGCTGCCATAGCCGCCGAATTATCACCACCAACAGCTGCCAATGTAGCTCTATCCTCGATACGAGTATGGATAGGCACAGTATACCATTTATTATCACCACCAAGATCATTACTATGTACCATCAATGTAGGATGTAATATTGAACCATTCTTTTTGAAAATGACAATGTTATAGATCGATATAACAATGTATAGCAAACTAACGACAATGGGTACCACCACCAGTGGCTTTACAGCAGCACTAACACCACCACAAATCATCGATAGAAGCCAGAAAGCGATAAGAATATAGCGATGTAGCAAGAAACGTCCACCACGCATCATTTTCTTATCCTCTACCGGTAAATTATTGTATTGTTTCACTGCAAAATTGTACTTTCCTGCGTAATTCTTTGGTACGGTAACTGTAATACCTGTTGGTCGTATGTTACCGATACTTGTTGTCTCTTTTCGATTATAGGCCAATGCCGCATCTCCTGTGCTTGCAATAACCGTGCCTTCACGTTGATAACCAAGTGGAACTACAGACATATTAATATTTGCCCTAAAGAACTAAGAATGTTAGAAACAAGTAAAAAGGATTCTTCATGATACATAATAGGAAAAAGAGAAACACCGGCAATATTCGACAATTATTAAAACTTCGAACAAACACGAGTTTCTTATCACATAACCACGAAACGAATATGCCTTTTGAAAATTTACTCATTCCTTGCCTCAAGTTTATATCTTCAATCAAAAGCTCATTGAAATCTTTCTTAGAATTTTGTGATTCCAAACAGTTCACAGTCATATTTAGGATTCTTATCATCATTGCAAATAGATTCTGCACCAAATCCAGAATAACAGTTCTTTAACAAGAACAAAATCATGATAATGTTACCTATACCCACCTCCTAGTTTTAAAGGATGGAAGAAATCGATTACAGTAACCCGACGATCGATTCTCTTGCACAGTTGCCTACCAAGATATAACCATGAAAAAAATTTCAATGCATACACAGAAAAACAATTTCAATGCAAGAATAGCAAAAAAAAAACACGAATTTCAATTTATTCATGAAATTGTTTCTTCTCAATTGTTTTATTGTTTCAAAGTAGTTCTGTTTCTTCCATTAGAGAACAGAAGGCTTTCAATGTGTTAACTGTTCGGAGAGCGTCAGCAAGAATGAGATTTCAATTAATATGCACAGAAGAACGAGCGTGAATAACGAATTATTCATGCCATTTTTCTTCAAAATTTTTATTTCGCCGAAAGAAACTGAAGACTGCTTCTGGCTTTTTCATCGTTAATGGATAAAAACAAGAAAACAAGAAAAAAAGAAGACTAAACAGCAACAAAAACGTTAACATGACTTTATTTCCAACATAAAACGAGTTTCATTTCTTTCTCTTGTTTACTAATACAGTCAACTAAAAATATTGTGTTGCACTTGTTGTCTCAAAATAACATTTCATTGATATCGAAATCAAACTATAGATGTATACAATGAATTGTCTAATACAGCCTAATGAGGAAAAGCTTCATTACTGAATGAAACAATAATATGTTCCATAAAATAATGCTTGACTATATGCTCTTCTATTATTCATTTAAAAAGATCGTTCCATCAGAATAACTCAAATGTATTCAATAATCTCAATGAACTATTGATATAATATCTTTAAACCACCTGATGAAGTCTCACCAAGACAGAAACAACCGTTGTCATGGAACGGCGATTATTCTAAAACATACCCAGATGTTGGAGAATCTCTTACTACTTATTATTGGAAGTTTTATTCAAAGCTTTTTTGATAATAGTATTTTATAATTATTATCAGCTTGAAAGCTTTCTAAATAAAACTTTAACAATAATATTTCATAGTAGGAGAGGTAAAATACTCGATCAAAAATCTTAAGCAATTGTTAAGTTTAATTTTAGCACTTATCGAAACCGGTCTTGCTAGCTATTGATTGATTTTACTCAAAATCATTCTACTAACACACCATAATTGTTGGAGTATCTCTTTTTTCCTATTGTTAGAAGTTTTTACTTAAAACTTCTTCGATAATAGTATATTATGATTAATATCAGATTGGAAGTTTTTTACAAACTTCTAACTATGTTAATTCGTAGTAGGAGAGTTATATGCTTTTAACATCATTTATTCCTAAGCAATTGATAAGTATTACTTTAGCACTTATCGAAACCGGTCTTGCTAGCTATTGAATTGATTTTACTCAAAATCATTCTACTAACACAACAGCAAGGTTCAAACTAGTCGTATGATGCTCTCAATCTGGAAAATCTTTTATACTAAAACAACTATATATTTATTATTACCTTAAATATATGGTTCTTATTTAATTACGTTTCACCCTTAACTTTCTCCAAAATTTGGGCGAGTTCTGACTTGTATGTAATTATGAAATTCTAAACATACCTCATGAATTCCTTACGCAAGGACGAAACGTCGTGTGACGCTTTGAATTTCAACTATATATTTATTATTCCTATAAAAATTTCTTAATAATGATTTAATATTGTTATTTGGATTTAGTACGCATTTGTCTTTCACTTCTTCAAAAATTTGGAGAGAGTTAGATACATGTACTTATAGGTTGTAAACATACCCGTTGAGTCCCTTAAGCAAGGACGAAACTAGTCGTGTAATGCTCTCAATCTAAAAAGTCTATACCTTTATAATGATTTAATATTGTTATTTGGATTTAGTACGCATTTGTCTTTCACTTCTTCCAAAAGTTGGAGAGAGTTAGATACATGTACTTATAGGTTGTAAACATACCCGTTGAGTCCCTTAAGCAAGGACGAAACTAGTCGTGTGATGCTCTCAATCTAAAAAGTCTATATCTTTATAATGATTTAATTATGTTAGACGTAATAGGAGAAAAATTTTATTTTTTACCATCATATATTAAGCAATTGATAATTGACTATTTTTAGCAATAGTCGAAACCGGTCTTGCTAGCTTTATATACTTTGATTTGATTTTCGAATCATTTCTAAATTATATCAACACACCCACACCCACACCCCTCATATAAAAAAATCCAACTAATTAAAATATATCGACCAAAGGTCAAAACAACACACGGTCATATAAAAAAATCCAATTAATTAAAATATATCAAACAAAGGTCAAAACAACGCACGGTCATTTAAAAAAATTCAGTTTATTAAAACATATATAGCAAAGGTCAAAACAACACAGGGTCATTTAAAAAAATCCAATTAATTATAATATATTGCCGAAAGGTCAAAACAACACACAGTCATATAAAAAAATCGAATTTATTAAAATATATCGACCAAAGGTCAAAACAACACACGGTCATATAAAAAAATCCAATTAATTAAAATATATCGACCAAAGGTCAAAACAACACACGGTCATGTAAAAAAATCCAATTTATTAAAATATATTGAACAAAGGTCAAAACAACACACGGTCATGTAAAAAAATCCAATTTATTAAAATATATCGACCAAAGGTCAAAACAACACACGGTCATGTAAAAAAATCCCATTTATTAAAATATATTGAACAAAGGTCAAAACAACACATAGTCATATAAAAAAATCTAATTTATTAAAATATATCAACCAAAGGTCAAAAGAACACACGGTCATATAAAAAAATCCAATTAATTAAAATATATCGACCAAAGGTCAAAACAACACACGGTCATGTAAAAAAATCTAATTTATTAAAACATATTGAACAAAGGTCAAAACAACGCAAGGTCACGTAAAAAAATCTAATTAATTAAAATATATCGACCAAAGGTCAAAACAACAGACGGTCGTGTAAAAAAATCCAATTGTGAGGATCATAGTGATCACGTCATATTTGAATTCAAGATAGGGTCATGATGATCATGTCATATTTGAACTCAAGAGAGGATCATAGTGATCACGTCATATTCGAATTCAAGATAGCGTCATGATAATCATGTCATATTTGAATTCAAGATATGTTCATAGTGATCACGTCATATTTGAACTCAAGATATGGTCATGATGATCACGTCATATTTGGAATGAAAGATCGGCATTTTTGTGAGAAACCTAATTAACGTAATTAATTAATTTGACCATGAAGGAAGCATCTGGCAAAGTTGACACCAGCAGAAAAAATGCTCAGCGTATGAAACTGTATCAGAAAAATTTTTTTCCAGATTTTTATCTATTATAGAATCAGAGATCGGCATTTTTGGGAAAAAACTAATTAGCCTAATTAATTAATTAGACCATGAAGGAAGCATCTGGCAGAGTTGACACCAGCAGAAAAAATGCTCAGCGTATGAAACTCTATCAGAAAAATTTTTTTCCAGATTTTTATCTATTACAGTGTCAGAGATCGGCATTTTTCAGACATTAAGTTCATTAACGTTATTAATTAATTTGACCGTGCAAAAAGCATCTGGCCTAGTTCTTTGAGTCACAAAAAAAGGCAATCTAATGTTTACACAGTAAACCAATGATACCCATCGCCAACAGAGCCCTAACCAAAATCTAAACATGTAGGATGTCAAAAAATAGGAACTAGGAGCATGGCCTCCCCCCCTTAGATCGGTGAGTTCTCAAGGATCTCTGAGGAGGAGGCCTAGGTGGGGTAAGGGGCCGTAACACAATTCAGGCTGACCCATCATTACTGTGTTACGGCATATACCGGATGGTTATGATTTTTTAATGACTTATTTTATTCTCGGGGGTAGATTCGAACTTAAGGAGGCATGAAATGAAGGTCGTTGGAAAGCAGATTGCCTTAGATATAGGTACCGGTTGAAAAACTGAAAGTAATTCGGTTTGCGAGCGTGACGAATTCAAATTAGAATGTTTCTTAGCATAATGGCTGAAGTTTGAGAGATGAAACTACATTGAAAATACTGTGTTAAATGAGATTTTTTTCGAGTCGAAACCGAAACCTTGAACTTCAAAACGAATAAAAAAGAATCACAATCGAACTGAAATAAAATATAAATTGAAAAAGAAATTAGAAGTGCAAAATACGAAAATGTATTATTAGGTTGAGCAAATAGTTCGCGATCCGATCACGTAATTTGTGAACACATAACTCCTGTCTTTTACATAGTAAGTTAAGTAGGTTAAAATGTCAAATCAATGTGAAACTTGTGGTTTATATATTTAAAGTTGAATTTTGAACGCCGATTGTTAAAAGTTGAAGGATAAAAATATATTACAAAGAAAAAGAAAAATATTCAATTTAAGAAAAAAAAAACACTAACAATTGTAAGGCTCTCTCTTTTCTTTAGTTCATTGTCCTTTAACATAGTTTATTGTCCTATACTATTGTTGTTGTCGTACAGCATAGATTCTTGTCGTATATTATTGTTGTTGTCGTACAGCATAGATTCTTGTCGTATATTATTGTTCTTGTCGTGTATAATAGTTTCTTGTCGTATATCATTCTTGCTGTTCTATATTATTCTTGTTGTCCTATATTATTCTTGTTGTCGCTCATAATAGCTTCTTGTCGTATATTATTGTTCTTGTCGTATATTATTCTTGCTGTTCTATATTATTCTTGCTGTCCTATATTATTCTTGTTGTCGTTTATAATAGTTTCTTGTCGTGTATTATTTTTCCTGTTCTAATTAATTATCTTCTTTTCTTGTCGTGTGTAGCTGATCACTTATATAAATAGGCTAGCTCTCCTGCAAAGAATTTATTTTATCGATTAACACAACAGCAGCAACATCGAATCTTATACTGTAAGCACGACTGGCCGTAACAACTGCGTTCAACCCCAGCATCTATACAAGGTCTGTTGATATTTTATTAAGCATTTATGATCAGCCTTTTCCACATGCAATCAGAAACATCTTTTTTTGGGGTTTCATAAAATTCTGAGGCTGATATACGTTCTCCGAATTCAGTTGTAAAAAAGTTCGTAAAATGAATTCTCCATTTTCAAGTAGTTCTGAGTCTAAAAATTATTTTTTTTTCTATAATTTTGTATGATCAGTAATATCTGTTTTTATGTCTATAAGCTATGGGAAGTGTATCATTAGCGTGGTGTCGTGTTTTACAAAATAAAGATGATATTTATTTCGAAATGTAACACTCGAAATGAAGAATGTAAATTTCAGACATAACGGATAAACGGTCAAGGGTTAATTTTTAGTTATAGACATAACCCTAGAAATGATAAATTTAAATTTCAGACATAACGGATAAATGGTCAAACGTTATTTTTTAGTTCGAAATATAACCCTGGAAATCATAAATTTAAATTCTAGACATAACGGATATAACGGTCAAACGTTATTTTTTAGTTCGAAATATAACCCTAGAAATGATAAATTTAATTTTCAGACATAACATATAAACGGTGAAAGGTTAATTTTTGAATCGAAATATTATTCTGGAAACATAAAATTTTATTTTCTAACATAACAATTGAAAGTTGAAAAGTGAAATTAGCTTCGAATGTAATCATTGAAATTTTAAATTTCATGTCTAAAACGAAAGCATTTCAAAGGGAAAGATGAAAAAAAATATTGTAATGTTAATCAGTAGAAAAAAAAATTGAAACTTTAATAAAATCATTTCAAGTTCGAAAGATCAATATATTATGAGATTAATTGTTGTCTATCTTAAAATAATGTTGTGTTTCTTCTTATCGCGTGGTCTGTCTTTTCTCTCGTTCTCCCTTCTTTTGCAGTGGTCTGTCCTAGACGACACGTTCTCTCTTCTTATGCCGTGGTCTGTCCCTAGAACACACATTCTCCCTTCTTATGCAGTGGTATGTCCCTAGAACACACGTTCTCTCTTCTTATGCCGTGGTCTGTCCTAACATTATCGTTTGTTCATATATACCGTGGTCTGTCTTTTTTTTTCTCGTTCTCTCTTTTTATGCCGTGGTCTGTCCTAACATTATCATTCGTTCATATATACCGTGGTCTGTCTTTTTTTTTCTCGTTCTCTCTTCTTATGCCGTGGTCTGTCCTAGGATGCTCCACTGTGTATTGCCATTTACTATATAAAGCCATTCACTCCTTGTGAATGTTTCATTTCATCGATTAACACAACAGCAGCAACATCGATTCATCTCCTGTACTATCGACCAACAAGAACAACTGCATTCATTATAAACGACTTCTAACAGGTATGTTCATATTCAAATTAGTGTTTCATCTTAACCCTCTCTGTACAAAATGGAAAGACGATATTTTTGTTCGCTTTCACATTTCTTTAAGTGTGTTATAAGTTGTTCGAATTCTTCGAAAGTAATATCAATAAAATGAATCTATGATTTTTGTGTAACTTCGTTTATAACTGTTTTTCTTAGCGTTGAGTTTTTGTTATGTACTTTTTTTCTCATTTGACCTGTCTACGTATTATATTATTTTATATGTAGTAGCTATATGTATCCATAAAATTAATTTTTCTGCGCGTATGTGCAAGTATATGAAATTAGCAAACGTATATGGGATATTTTATTAAATTTCAAATTTTATTTTTCTATGACACTTCTGAATATTTTTTCTGTAGGATATTGCATTGAAAAGTACGGAAAATCATAACGGAAATGGATGGTCGAAAAATAAGAAATCATAGTCATCCAACAGCTTATACAGAAGAAGTAAGTGTTTCCCAAAAAAAATTAACTATCTACATAAAAGTAATGTTTCTATTCAAGCATCCTATTACAAATGACTTCAATACAAATCATAGTGATATTTATGAGAACAATATGAACAAACTGGAACGGAATGGCGGGATTGCTTTAAACAATATGGATACCATACCAAAAAAAGTCAAAGTTGTTAGTGTTAAATAAATTTCGGTGAAATTCTTTTTTTTTGTTGATTTCTTTTAGCCAGCGGAAGAAAAGATTTTATCACAAAAATTCACGCAATTATCAATATCAACAAATAATGAAGAGCCACCAACATTCGAAGATATTACAGACGAAATTCAAAAAATTCCAGACTTTTTAACAAAACGAAATAAATCTTTCAAGCAAATGATACGTCAAGTAATATCAACAGCAACAATAGAAATATCAAATAAAACAAAAGAAGAATTACGACAAATAGCCATTTTAATATATAAAATAATGTTCGTTCAAACTAATTATTCTCTATGGACCACTTATTTAAAATCTGGTATGGGACAACTCATTATTCCATTGGCAGAAAAATTCAACTTTCCAACAAATTTACATATCTGGCCAAAAGCGATTAAAATATTAATGCAAAAATCTACAAAAATCAATACAATAAATGAAAATGAGATTTGTATGAATTTAGTCAACATTAAATTAATTGAACTAGATAATCAATTAAAACAATATCAAGCTGAATTGAATAAGATTAGAAATGGTTTTTATGGTTATATATTACAACATCAACATTTAATTGAAAGATATATTGAACAAAATATGTCTTCTTTACGTAGGGAAATTGAACATAAAATTGAACTTATTCATTATGATTATCATATCCAAGCATTCAAACTACAGTATCTTAGACATAATCCAAATAACTATCAAGTACGTGTTCAGTTGAAATAAATCTATTGTTTAATTAAAATTTTCTTTTTTTTCTACACTTTTTTGAGAAACAACTACTGAAACAACTTTGTCGAAGTAAATATGAACAAGAAATGACAGAACAAGAATTAATTTTTCTTCAACAACAAATAACTTATTTTAATTCACCTAGTCAATCATTTGAAAATTCATCCATAGCTCAGTCAACAATAATTAATTCTCTTGAAAATCCTGAAATTCGACAACAACTATTAAATCAATACAAAGCAATCGCTGAAAATTCGAAACATCAATTATCAGCATTGTGTATAAAAGCTGCTGAAGAACAACGTGATAAATACAAAAAACAGCACGACAACAATGTCAAGCAAATGTGGTCTGATCGTCATGCAGCAGCTGACCATGAAAAAATACCATTATTTATGATTGATCTTATTAATGAGCGTTGTAAAAAAATTGGTGAAAGTATACAATCTATCTATAAGTTTAAAGTTCAATGTTTTCTTTCAAAATCAAACGTATAAATTTATCAATAAACAAAAGATTTTTTCTTTAGTGATAAACAATATCATTTGTCTAATAGTTAAAGTTCATGTTATTTTTGTCTTTTCTTTTTTTTTGTTTTAGATAAATTTAAAATTAGTTAATTCATATTTCACACATGGATCTGAACATGAGTCATGCTCCAGAAGATATTGGTCAACCTACAAATCAAGGACAGCAAAGAAAAAAACGCCATGGTAATCGAAAAGATCAACGTTTTCGAAAAAAATGTCGTGCAAGAGGCATGAAACCAGAAAACATCGAAATATTACTTCATAGACACAAGGAAATTCATAATAAAAAGATGAATCATGACAATAAGACGATGCGAAATACAACTGATGAAAATGTAGCATCAACAACAACAACAACAGCGAAAAATATTTCCAATCGTACGAATGAACCATCAGTACAACGAAATTCGACACCAAATATTAATAAACGTAAACGAGATGTATCATTACAACAATTAAGCTCGAATCCAACAATACCAAAATCTACAAGTTCATTATCAATTGTACAACCTTCATCGAAAAAGATGAAAAAGAAAAAGAAAACCACAACAAGTAGTCGACCGATGAAATGCTCAAACAATAATACCAAGACAAATTACCGGTCAGTTTTTTAATTCTTGTACATGTTTATTGTTTAAAAAATGTTTCTGATTATAGGTCACCTAAATATTTGAAACGATCACCATCTGTAATTATTAAAATGTTAAGTAAAACATTAAATTATACATTTAAAGAAAATAATGAAAAAAAAATTATTTGTGTCCGGCTCAATCTGTTGGATCAATGCTATTTTCTACGATTAGAACAAGAATTATGGAACTCATATCTAGATGTTGGTATACAGCAGCATCTTTGGCCAGTAAGTTACTTTTTCAAATTTTATTTCATGTAGAATCAATCTGCTTAAAAATAAAGGATCGTCTCTATACGATGGCAATATCAAATGATTTTGATGTCTGTCACCAATATCTTGTGAATTGTATAACTGAGCTGAATAAACACA